ACGTTTTCCTCTTTTGTTTTTTTATCCGCCATCTCTATCTTTCTGTCGCTCGGCTCGGCTAATGTCCGTCCCATGCACTGAACGCGCTCTCCTCCACATCACGAGTAGACACGCCCCTTATTGCTGATTGGCTACAAGTTTGTTTTGCTATTCGGCCCGAATCAGTTTTCTAAAGTGTTTTTGAAAAATCGCATACCCTGCCTTTAATATTAATAATAATGTAATATTTTAAATATTTTAATATCAAATGTACACTTGTATCAGTATTTGATGTTATGTAGTAGTCATGTAGCAAGTACCAAGGCATTATTGACATAACAGTATGACTTTCTGTAAAGCTGCTTTGAAACTATGTCTACTGTGAAAAGTGCTATGTGAATAAATACAAATACAAAGTAGAAAACATACTCTACACAAACATGTGGATGCAAACACTTCTAGCAAGAGAATGAGTTCAGTTGTTACGTTCAGATTCTTTTTTTCCCTGATGCAATGTAATGCAAAACACAAAATATGCATTATAATCTCAGAGTTGCCACGAGGGGCACAGTAGCAGACATTTGTGTAAACCGTCTTCTTCTATGCTCAGTTTTCTGTTATCTGATTAATAGCACATCTGGTTTAATGCATAAGACATGTGAAGCAAACTGCATGAAAATGCATATAGTTACTGTGACAGAAAAGCTTCAGTGGGCTCGTGTGTGTGTGCTTCCATGTGTAGCAACAGCTCAATACTAGATTGAGTGTTTTGACATCTGGTCTCTGACCTCACACACCTCAGCTCGGTCCTGCCTGACTCTCAGGTCAAAGAGAGGCTGGACTTTATTGAGAGGTTTGCTGATTTATGACTGTACACGAAGGTTTCAGTTTAGTTAGAGTTAAGGTTAAGTCAAAGATTAATGTTAGGGTCAAAGCGTACTGGACATTCAGTCATAACACCATAATGTAGTCATAATTCAGTCATCTCATAACCAACCACCAATGCAGAAAAACACTCTGCTTTTCATCCCAGAGAGAAGACGGCCGCATGCATTCACCGCTACATATATGTGTTGCATGATGCATTGTGTGTGTTTAATGACAGTGATGAAGTGTTTGGCACAGGTGAATTACTCCGTTACAGTAATTACAAGCCATCTTGGAGTGCGGCACTGTTGCATTATGGGGAGGCATTATAAGAAACCTCTCTCTCACTGATGCATTGGCTAGTTTAGAGATGCTTCAAATGTCTGCATTTCTGTGTGTGTGTGTGTGTGTGTGTGTGTGTGAATGAAGGAGCCTTTATCTGGTCCACAGGTGCCTCATTTGCTTTCACAACACTTCCCGTCTCTCTCTCGGACCACTCGTACCAGTTCACTCACGCTTTTCACTTCAGCCTTTTTAAATAAATACATCAGAAAGAGAAATTTTTCAACCGAAAGCCGTTGTTGCTATGAAGTTGCTATGAAACTGAAATAGTGTCTGATCTTCTCTGTATTGTGACGTGCATCTGAGTAAAACGGATGCATTGGTTGTTGACTGGATGCAGGCAGATCTGAATAAGAAGTAAGAAATGGTTGGCGTTTAAGAGTACCTAAATGATTGGAGAAAACCTGCAAACATACCCTAGTAAAAAAATAAGGCAGCGGCTATTTGCACTAAGTGTAAATAGCAATAAAGGCTATTTGCACTAAGTTAAAATAGCATATTTTCTTAGTGATAGATGCTATTTACACTAAGTGCAAATATTGATGGATTCTATTTACACTGTTAAAATAGCAGGATTAATGAAGGAGCCTTTATCTGGTCCACAGGTGCCTCATTTGCTTTCACAACACTTCCCGTCTCTCTCTCGCACCACTCGTACCAGTTCACTCACGCTTTTCACTTCAGCCTTTTTAAATGTAAACATCAGAAAGAGAAATTTTTCAACCGAAAGCCGTTGTTGCTATGAAGTTGCTATGAAACTGAAATAGTGTCTGATCTTCTCTGTATTGTGACGTGCATCTGAGTAAAACGGATGCATTGGTTGTTGACTGGATGCAGGCAGATCTGAATAAGAAGTAAGAAATGGTTGGCGTTTAAGAGTACCTAAATGATTGGAGAAAACCTGCAAACATACCCTAGTAAAAAAATAAGGCAGCGGCTATTTGCACTAAGTGTAAATAGCAATAAAGGCTATTTGCACTAAGTTAAAATAGCATATTTTCTTAGTGATAGATGCTATTTACACTAAGTGCAAATATTGATGGATTCTATTTACACTGTTAAAATAGCAGGATTTTCTGCTATATATACTACTTATTGCAAACAGTGGCAATTATCAGCACCTCAGTACTGTAGTAAATTATAAAACAGTATGCAATAATAAAGTATTGAGTGTAAATTATAATTTTAATTCAAATTATTAAATGGATGCCACCTTATTGGGACAATAAAGCCCTCCCTACATCTAGCCTAACCCTACCCGATACTTTATTTTCAACGTTTCAATTATTTCTTTCATTTTTTTTTTTAAATAAGTGCCTTGCCAATGTGATACGGGATTTGAAAAGGGAGAAAAAAGTTCGGCAAAAGGCGGATTCGAACTCGGGTCGATCACGAAAAAAAAAAATGACAGTACGCAATTTACCATTTATGCCACCGGAGCTGATGTTTGACAGTCAGTTTTTGTAGTGTTGACTGCCCCAATCACACTTTGGGGGGCGGAGTTAGTGTAAATAGCCTCTGCCAGCAAGGGGTGTACTTAGTGTAAATAGACACTCCGAAAAAATAAATATACTAAAATGTATTTGAAATACATTTATTTCATGCTAAGCATACTACAGGTACATTTACATATTTATGTACTTAATAAAAATATCCTGCAATTGTACTTTTTGTACACTAAACTGGTCTACTTAAAGTCTGCTAAATTAAAACAACTAATTTTATGTTTAATGCACTTTAATTGTGGGGAAGTAGTGCTGAAGTCCATCTAAAGATATACTGAAGTATATTTGATTGTGCTGAAGTGGAACTATACTTCAGGTGCACTTTAAATATCTTGCATTTAAAGACCGATATTATTCAAAGATCATACAGTCTTCATTAATTGTGACATTAAAAAACATTTAGGCTTAATATTAATAAATGTGCGTTGTGCACAATGTAGTGCACCAAATAAAGTTAAATTATAATTTTTATATCAGTAAGTCTTGAGCGATACGTCAGTAAATATGTTAATAGATTTGAACTATACTTAGTATGAAATAAATGTATTTTAAATACATTACTTTTTTTTACTAGGGTAAGCAGAGAGAAGGTGCTTCACAGGAAGATTTAGACATGACATTTTGATCTAAGACTTTGAGTTCAAAAATGAAAACGGGAAAACATGAACATGAATGACTCGTTTACATAATCTTTAACATGCACTTAGATCGTTTTAATAGTTTGGGTGGCAATAAAACTTGCTGGCCTGCATAAAATGTCATGGAATGTTCACAACTGGCATTCAGATTTCTGAGATGCCAAAAAAAATCATAAAAGTCATAACAAAAAGTGGAGTGAGATGAGCTAATATTGCAAGCAATTGTGGAACAAATCTAAATAAATGAATGTGTCTGTCACATCATCATGCTTTTATTTGCCTCCAGGAGGGTGACAACTTCTGAATTGCATTTTAACAATGAGTTGTATTTGTGAATCCGAAAAGTACTTGATATGTGAACGTGTTTCAGAGTCCTGCTGAGTGTGAATCGTGTCTGCTAGTGTAACCCGTCTCTCGTCTTCTCTCTCAGAGCCCATGCGGACCCCCAAGAGTCTGAAGATCGCAGAGACGCAGGCGCGCTTCATCGCCGTGGACTGGGAGTCGCTGGGCTACAACATCACCCGCTGCCACACCTTCAACGTCACCATCTGCTACCACTACCACAAAACCAACCAGAGCAAAGCCGACTGCCTAGAGATGGACCCCAAAGCCCCCCGACACGTGGTGGGCAACCTGCCGCCTAACACCAACGTCAGCCTGAAGATGATCCTATGAAATAAATGTATTTTAAATACATTACTTTTTTTTACTAGGGTAAGCAGAGAGAAGGTGCTTCACAGGAAGATTTAGACATTACATTTTGATCTAAGACTTTGAGTTCAAAAATGAAAACGGGAAAACATGAACATGAATGACTCGTTTACATAATCTTTAACATGCACTTAGATCGTTTTAATAGTTTGGGTGGCAATAAAACTTGCTGGCCTGCATAAAATGTCATGGAATGTTCACAACTGGCATTCAGATTTCTGAGATGCCAAAAAAAATCATAAAAGTCATAACAAAAAGTGGAGTGAGATGAGCTAATATTGCAAGCAATTGTGGAACAAATCTAAATAAATGAATGTGTCTGTCACATCATCATGCTTTTATTTGCCTCCAGGAGGGTGACAACTTCTGAATTGCATTTTAACAATGAGTTGTATTTGTGAATCCGAAAAGTACTTGATATGTGAACGTGTTTCAGAGTCCTGCTGAGTGTGAATCGTGTCTGCTAGTGTAACCCGTCTCTCGTCTTCTCTCTCAGAGCCCATGCGGACCCCCAAGAGTCTGAAGATCGCAGAGACGCAGGCGCGCTTCATCGCCGTGGACTGGGAGTCGCTGGGCTACAACATCACCCGCTGCCACACCTTCAACGTCACCATCTGCTACCACTACCACAAAACCAACCAGAGCAAAGCCGACTGCCTAGAGATGGACCCCAAAGCCCCCCGACACGTGGTGGGCAACCTGCCGCCTAACACCAACGTCAGCCTGAAGATGATCCTCACCAACCCGGAGGGACGCAAAGAGAGCGACGAGACCGTCATCCAGACGGAGGAGGATGGTACGAGAGTGTAGCACACACTTCCCTACCCTTTTTGACCACAACAGTATTACTTATGAGTATCTGTAGATTAAAATAATTCATTCAAATGATTATTATTAAAATGTAAATAATTACATTTTAGAATTCACACATTTTATAGAATGCAAATGAATGCAAGATGTTAGATATATACAGGTTCCAAAAAAATGTTTAAACGGGGTTGTTGTTCATTATGTTTTTTATTAAGGGCAAACTGGTTGTTTTTCTGAACCGTTTCATTCTTTTGGTTTGAAAACCAAAATTACTAATATATGAGGTAAGTGCATTCATTTAAAGATGGAAAGTGCAGGCCTGCGTCGTTGGTTTCTGAGCGTTATTCTTGAAAATTAGCTCTGTGTCCAATAACTGCGCTGTGTTATGCATGAGATCGCATTACAGCGGAGAATTCAAATGTTTCAGATGCATTGTTTCATCTGTTGAACACTTGTCATTCAGAGACATATGGGTCGAGACTCGAAAGACACTGCAGGTGAAGAGGGTAAACATTTTGACTAATATCACAAATCCAATAGTCTAATAGTCACGAGTGGAATATGACTATGACTTCCGTTGCACGTTCTTACAGACAGTACTTGAGACTAGGGCTGGGTATCGTTCAAAATGTTCGATATCGATACCGATACCGATACCTTGACTTCGATACCGGTTCCTGAACGATACTTTTTTCGATACCAATTTTATGAAATCAATTTTAACAAGATTACATTATCTAAAAAAAAAAAAACTTTGGTTTTATTTCTCAGCTTGTTGATGTTTATACAAACTCAAAGACTCATCTCCTGAGCCACTGCACAAAGGAACAAAATGTAACCAACACAATAAATCAGTGCAAATAGTTTTAATAAAGCTCAAATAGTCTTCAGTTTACACATCTGTTAGGCTACATTTACACTAGAGCGTGTTCGTTTTAAAACGCATAGCTCAGACAGAATCATGATTTCTATTTATTTTCCACTGATTTACTGATGAGCATTAGCAGCTTCCAGCGCTGTCTGCTTGTGTTCTCTCTTCCATGATCGCTGCTCTGACTCAGAGGTAATAACAGATTTAATTTCAGCAACATTACATGGCCAAAACACACATTAGATGGCAGGTCCGGATTTACCATTTTTGGGCCCCCTTCCCTATTAATATAATAGACCTCCCATAGGTATCGAAATTTGGTACCGAACGACGAGACGTTTTTCGATACTCGATGGTATCGAGGCAATTCGGTCGGTGCCTAAAAAGTATCGAACACGATACCCAGCCCTACTTGAGACTCTTGTAAACTGCATTTCGAAACTCACACCCAAGCACAGACAGTGTGAATATAGCCTACAAGGCATGTTATGGAAACAAAATAGCCCAAAATGACCAGTGCATGAAAAACAATGGTTTGCATGTAGTGTCTTGCCTTAAATTAAGAAGTATCTTAATTTTAATGAGCTTATTTTAAATAATTTTAAGTCACCCTAGTGGACCCCGGGTTGAGAACCACTGACCTATAATGACTTTGTACAGATTTCTTTGGTGTGTCATGTGATTGTGCTGTAATCGCGAGTCCAGGTGTGCTGACTTGCTCTTTTCCATATAGTGTTAATATGCCAAGTCCTTCTATGCAGCTGTGTAGAGCAGATGATCACTGATTCTCACTGTATGATAACATGAAGAGTGTGACGTGGCTCTGGACTCTGTTGTGGCTAGTTGAGTTTCTCGGCACGCTGTCTGTCGGTCCACAGATGATAAGTGCTCAGGCATAAGGGAGTCTGACATGAATTCATTTTGCCCTCTCTCGCTTTCCTCCATAATACTGAGGTGAGCCATCAAGATCACTGATTGGAGGGGCAGCGAAACCAAACGTCTAGATATCGCAAAACCAGTGAACATCCATAAATAATACAATGTTCACGACATCCTGACGTCATTTCTACTCCCCTGAAAGTAGCTTTTACTGTTATCCACACTGATCATTTAAGAATGCCACAGTTTGAGTATTACAATATGGGGTCAGAAGAACATCCAGGTATAAAGGCAAATAAAAGCAACTCATGTAAACACCTTAATCATAATATTGTCTTATTCAGAATAAGGTAAATAATGAGATTAGTTACCGATGTCCATGTAAACGTACTCATTGAGAATCATGTATCCTTGTTGAATTTGAAAATAATAGTGTTCCTGGATCCAAATGTACAGAATCCATAATCCCACCATGAAGCTGCCCAGCCAGTGTCCATATACACAAAAAAGTATTGGGAAACACCACTTAATTATTGAATTCATGTGTTACATTCAGACTCATTGCCACAAGTGTATAAAATCAAGCAACTAGCCATACAGTCTACATTTGCACACATCTGTGAAAAATAATGGGTCTTTCTGAAGAGCTCAGTTAATTAAAGTTTAGTACTGTGATAAAATGCCACCTTTGCAGTAAATCCGTTCATGAAATTTCATACCTGATAGGTATTCTATGCTGTAATTATTATTGGAAATTCTAAGCATTTAACAGCAGCAACTCAGCCACAAAGTCACAGAGCGGCTCACCAAGAGCTGAGGAGCTTGGTGTGTAAAAGTCGCCCATACTCTGCTGATTCCAGATTTCCACACTTCCCCTGGCATTAATATCAGCATAAAAACTGTGCGGCGGGAGCTTCATGGAATGGGTTTCCACGGCTGAGCAGCTGCATGCAAGCCTCACGTCACCAGTACAATGCCAAGCGTGGGATGGAGTGGAGTAAAGCACGCAGACACTGGACTCTGGAGCAGTGGAAACCTGTTCTGTGTTTGGCGAGTAAAGTTTGTTGGAGGAGGCATTATAATGGTATGGGGCTGTTTTACAGTGGTTGGGCTAGGCCCCTTACTTCCAGTTTCTTATCAAGACATTTTGGACAGTGCTATACACTCCAAAGTCTTGCGGAAAGCCTTCCCAGAAGAGTGGAAGCTATTATAGTCTGTCTGTCTATATTAATGTCTGTGTTTAGAATGCGATGACATTAAAGTAGAGACCTGCACTCCTCTGTTTGCGGGATGCGGGAGAATAAAATGATTCGCGGGACACCCGCAAAATAGAAATTATCTAAACATAAAGTGTCTAAACCATATAAATTGTTATTTATCTGTTGCACTAAAGCAAAAAGAACTACCAATATTAACATTAAAATGATTAGCGCTCAAGCTAGACATAGTTTCCATTTATAATGTAGCCAATCACAGACTCAGCTGTTGATTTCTGGAACGCAATGGCCAATCAGAGGTGATTAAGTTAGAATCTCCTCACCGCACTGAAAAATCCGTCCCGCGCAGGTCTCTACATTAAAGTCCCTGTTGGTGCCAGGTGTCCCAATACTGTTATCCATATACTGTAGTATAGATCTCACATCTCGCCCAGAAACACACGGATCTGCTGAAGTGTTGTAAGATCAGGTGACTGACTTGAGATGGCCCATTTAAAATGTTTACATGATTACACTGACAGTTAAAGCCTCTTTGTGTAACATCTCTCTCATGGAGAAACAGATCAAGACGTGTCAAGAATGTATAAATATAACTTTTTTTATTCAGAAGATGAGATGAGTGAGGCAAATAATTCAAATAAGGCAGGAATATATTGAGCAATCGAACACGAGCACACCTGACAGTCATAAGTGGGTTAAGATGCTGTGATTTCTTGACACATCTGGGACATGCACATCGCCTGCACAACTTTTTTTGTTTGTGAATAGCGTCGCTGCACAATAAAGGCCTCCGTCAGCGGCTCCACGGGCTGAATGCCGGCAAAGCCAGGTTTAGGTGTGCGCCGCTAACAGGAACACCGTTTGTTTTCATCTGCGCATATGCAAATGGGTTTTGAAGCTAACATTTTCTTGTTTTGATGAGATGACACACTCCTACCAGAGTACCATCATTCCTGCCCATTTCTTTTGTGTTGTGTTGATGGCCTTTTTATCCCGCAGAATGATTTATAGCGAACGTGCGCAGAATCACAGTCAGGTACAGAATTAATGTTGTGCCCACATTTAATATTCCTTATGCAAAGAAATTCACATGTAGGCACAATTTATATGTGTCATCAAAATTAATTTCACTCATGGAAGCAGGAACTTTTGCATCAGAAGGTTTTAGTTTTTCCAGACTTTTCACTGCTACTGTACTCAGCATTTTCCTCATATTTATACTCTTTTTTTTTTCTGATACTGTTATGGATATGTGGATATAGATGTGACCCTGGAGCACAAAACCAGTCTTAAGTCGCTGGGGTATTTGTATTTGTATTTATAGCCAAAAAAAACATTGTATGGGTATAATTATAAAAGAAATTATTTTTCTTTTATGCCAAAAATCATTAGGATATTAAGTAAAGCAAGCTTAAGGCTTTCAGATGGTGTATAAATCTCAATTTCAAAAAATTGACCCTTATGACTGGTTTTGTGGTCCAGGGTCACAAATTGTCTTAACCTGCAGTATGGGGTCATTTATAAGCAATAAAGAGCTGCTTCATCCCTTACGAACAATAGAAAACATTTGCAAGGTTTGTTTCCTACAATGGATTGTAGGTAAATATCAACCTCATCCAGCATTTTTTTATATATTTTTTTTGTCTTATAAAGTATCCCCTTGCTGTATCAGTGTAAGAAACCACTGCAAATGATTCAATCCGTGAGTGAACTGTTCAAATGAATCAAACTGAGTCATGAACAGTTTCAGACCTTTTTACAAACTGATTGGACCAATTCCATCAATATTGACTCAACTGTGAAAAAAAAAACATGCATGACGTGATTGCTGAAATATCATCAGGGTTTGTATACAATAATCTTCATTGTCAGGTAAGGATTTATCAGTAATGACAAATTACCCTAACCCTGCTCATATACTGGTATCATCACTGGTCATCATAAACGCATATCAGTTTCTAGCTAAAAATGTTCCACTGAGGTAAAGCTTTCAATAAGACAAGCCAATGTTATTCTCTCGCTGAAGCCGGTTCTGCTTGCTTTTAGTGCTTGTTGAGTGTTCATTTCTCGCCGTGTCTGTGTCTGTTTGTGCTGTAGTGCCCGGACCGGTTCCCAAGGAGTTTGTGAGAGCGACTCCGTCGGAGGATAAGATCTCACTGCAGTGGAAAGAGCCTCTGGAGCCCAACGGCATTATAACCCAGTATGAGGTAATGCTGCCAGTGTCTCGTTCCAATTCCACTGTGTGTCAGATTTGAGTGCTTGTGTGCAAACCTGAAGCCTAATGTATTAAAAGCACACACTCTCTTGCACCGTTTGTACATAGACGTTTGTATTTTCTGTGGAAAAACTAAAAATAAGAAAAACTATGAAAATAAAGGAACCATCCTATATACAGTATATAATGCATTTGAATGAGAAATTGATGTTTTAGCAATGTTGTCTTGTTTTCTGGGTGTCTGCTGTCTCCAGATCAGCTACAGTAGCGTGCATTCGTTCGACCCGTCAGTGGCGTTGCTGCGGCCGCTTGTTCTGGTGTCGTTACCTTGGAACACGTCGCGTCACAACTTCACACAGCTGCATCCAGGAACCACCTACCAGCTCCTGATCCGGGCCAGTACCAGCAAGGGATACGGACCCCCAACCACACTCAACGTCACCACCAACATATCAGGTATGCATGAGCTCGTGTTGTTACATCAAATCTGATCCCATCTGAAGTAGGGCTGGGCGATATTTCGATAGCGATAATTATCGCCATATAATTTTCCTCGATAAAACGGTATGAAGAGTTCGATAAATGTTCGATATAATGTTTATTAGGGCTGGGACAATAAATCGATGCATCGCGTTTCGTGGATGGATTCTGAGATTTTGGGAATGCATCGTGATTCTCTCTGGAATCGATTCTAAGCTTAGTTTTTAACAGCAGATGGCGCTCTAGGCTAGTTTCAAAGTCACGAAGAAGAGCGCTTGTGCGTTCGGCTGAGTAATGTAAGTGGTTAAATGTACTTGCACATCGGCTTTTATGCTTTTATGATGCGAGATTAATGTGAACACAGCCCACTGCGAACACTCTTGTAATTCACTTCAACCTTTTCAAACTTTATGAATGATTATTTTAGGTTCAAGTGGTGCGTGTGTAAGGAACCAGAAGCAAGCAGAATTCGGCTATTTCTAAAGCACGCAGCGCCATCTGCTGTTAAAAACTAAGCTCAGAATCGATTCAAGAGAGAATCGTGATGCCTTCAGAAAATCTCAGAATCGATGCAGATCATTTCTTGATTCGCGATGCATCGATTTATTGTCCCAGCCCTAATGTTTATGCGCCAAAAGCAGCGCTGTGAGATCCAGTGTGAAGCGCTTGAACTCAGCGATGAACACAAATGACTCTGATTTAAAAGTGATAAAAGTGATTTAAAGCCAAACAGGAGAAACACTGTGTGCAACGAGACAGTCAGAAGGCTTTTAATCTACACATCGCCAATGGTATTGTGTGGGATATTCACATTGAATTTTATTACAGGAGTAATGGTATATAATTATAGTATGTATTGTATGTATTTCCATAGCATGTGTGCAT